TCAGCAAGTGGCATTTGTATAGTGTATAGAGGGAATTTGTACACATGTTCAATCTATTTCATTAAACCATTGACAATTTTATTATTATCACAAATTAAACAATAAATTAATCAGAGGAAACTAAACAGGGGAATTTTATTGCATTCGTCTCATCTCGAGCTTGAGTAGATTGTCTCCATTTCTTGTCGTCAAACAAACTGGAAACGGAAAGTAATGAAACGCAGAGTTACAATACCCTGCAGGTCTCTGCATTATAACAATGTTTTTTTTAACTTATTGAGTCAACACGTAAACAAAAGTGTGCTATGTACTGTTTTATATTGGCCCTATGTAACATGTACAATGCATAAGAAAAAACATTATTTGTTCACGTAAATTATAACACATACCATGTCTGTCAAAATGGCCTATGCTAAAATTGATTGTTGGATTTCTATGAGAATAATTAGTACCATGTTTTTTTTCCCACGCTGTTCAAGAATGTTAGATACATGTAATAGAAAAGCCGAAAATAAAAAAAAGTATCTCGCATTCACGAATTGTGAATTTCAAGCAACATTTTTTTTGCCATGGTTAATGGGTCTTGTAATATTGCTTTATTTTGTATAGTGACATATGGTATGAATTTTCATAGTAAAAAAAAAGATACTTATAGTTGTCATAAATTATTAGAAAATGTTAACGATCATTGTCTATTATTTATGAGGTACTCCTTTACAATGGATTCTCATAAACAAATTTCAGTTTATATAAAAAAAAATATTTCATAAGAGATATTAATGACCAACAAATAATTACATAACAAAAAGTAGACGTTAATTGAAATTATTGCAGCATATGGTGTCTTGGTATCTGTATTCTCATGATACATTTTCCATTAGACAACCCAATTTAATAGTGTTGAATAAAACGATGCTTTATACTATTAATCAATCAGTTGAAATATGAATGTTTTTTAAGCTAAAATAAGGTTATTTTCTGATTTTTTATCATAAAATGCATTGCTTCAGAAAGTTTTCAGAGTGGTACTGTATGTGTTAACGCTATTCTAAGCACTGTTGCTTTATTTACAATCTGAGTAGATGTATGCCAGCATGATTTTCTCGTTCAAAATTTTCACATTTTTTAAAATTTTCAAAAAATGTCATTATCATTTTGAGCCATATAGACTGTATCAGATATTGCTTTTAGTTTTTGATCAAAAGGTTGTCAATTTTTATCAACATTTCATTTTAGAGAGGAACAGACAGTACAAAAGTTGACAATGGCGCTAGCAGGATTAAATTGATATTTATTTGAAGTTAAATTGATTGATTGATCGATCGATCAATTGAATGATATATCTAAATTGTTATCAATCATTTTGAACAGGGTGTGTGATGAGTGAACAAGATGAAGAAAAAGCGAAAGCTATTCGTGTTGGTAAGGCTGTTGGTGACTTCAGTCAATTCCAGTGGAAATTGGTATTGCCTCCATCTAAGGTAATTTTAACTTAGATAATACTCTATTCCCACTCTTTTGAATAGTCAACGACTTCCCGCAGTGTCATATAGTTGAATCTATGCCCAATAGTGTGCAACCCACAGTCGTCCTAATATCCAATCTACCCAGACAATACAGCACTTATAGAGAATTTGCCAATAATTATTTTATTAATACCATTGTTCATATTTGGTCATTGACATAACGTCCTTGCTAAACATTGTTAAACTACAATGTATATAAAACTACATGTACCTTATGACGTATTGTTGGCCCCATAATATTAAGATGATAAATCCGCTATCGCATAAAATAATATCAACAAATCACATAACATTTTTGATTAAACATACAAAAAAAACACCATAAATTGAAAAATGATAACAATATTGGTTATCAACCTGCCCAGTGTGTAATACGCTAAGTACGGTGTAGATTGATGATTCAAAGGCGAGTCTAGGACTCTATAGCGTGTTCACCTGCAGCTAAGCTGCATATTACATTGAATCAACTCCTCATCCAGTAAGACTCTGTAGGGTATACATTTTTGTACTTTCAATATTTTCAAAGTGTCATCATATAATTATGACATTGCATGTAAGAGTGGTATGCATACAAGCTTGGATCATGCATACACTCTCCTACACCTTCTCTGTGTTCAGACATGTCAAGGATACAATGAGTTGCCTTGAAAAACAGCCTAATTGCCAGTTTCTTGACGCGAAGTGCTTTATTTTTTGAATCAATTCTTTTGTATTAACTACTTTCCGCTTTTTGCCTTAATTGTCTTGTCATCGTATATTGAGCATCTTAATGCATCAGCACAATTTAAGGTCGTGACATTATTTGACGCCAATTAATGGAACAGACTCTATAATCTGTTAATATGTGGGAAAGATGGCAAAGAATGTCTAGACATGGTCAGTATAGTATATTACAATGTAACCTAACCTTTTCACCACCAGATTTATGGCCTAAATTTCTCTGCACTTTTTGACTCCCACAATGGGAGTCTTTGCAGTTGGCCTGTATGTGTAAGTGTCTTTTCCACTGATATCTCAAGAACCATATGTTGATTAGTCCCCGTTCGGACGAAGTCCGAAAACGGGGACTTATAATTCGGTCTCCGTCCGTCCGTCCGTCCGTGCGTCTGTGCGTCCGTGCGTCCGTGCGACCGTCTGGAGTCATATCTCAGAATCCCTTGGACCGATTTCGTTCATTCTTTGCATGTGCCTAGTACTTTATGTGGGACATATGCACATGCAGTGGTTTAGCGATTCGATTCAAAATGGCCGACTGGCAGCCATCTTGTTTTTTGAAAATGTTGTATTTTGGACATGCTTAGTCAGTTGTCATTCAAACTTGGTACATAGATTATACATGTTAGGATACATGTCCATGACGATTTATTTCACAATTGGATCAAAGATGGCCGACTGGCAGCCATCTTGTTTTTTGAAAATGTTGTATTTTGGACATGCTTTGTCAGTTTTCATTCAAATTTAGTACATAGATCATACATGTTAGGATACATGTCTCCGACCGTCCATGAGTTCCTGAGTCTGTCCGTTCATGTGTTCGTCCGTCCATCAGTCTGTCCAGAGTCGTATTTCAGAATCATGTGGACAGATTCCGTTCATTCTTTGCATGTGCCTAGTACCTTATGTGGGACATATGCACATGCAGTGGTTTAGCGATTCGATTCAAAATGGCCGACTGGCAGCCATCTTGTTTTTTGAAAATGTTGTATTTTGGACATACTTTGTCAGTTGTCATTCAAACTTGGTACATAGATTATACATGTTAGGATACATGTCCATGACGATTTATTTCGCAATTGGATCAAAGATGGTCGACTGGCAGGCATCTTGTTTTTGTTTTTTCTATGCGGTATCTTGAACATGCTCTGTCAGTTTTCATTCACATTTGGCACATACATGTTCTTTATATATGTTAGGATGCATGTCCATGACAATTTGTTTCAAAATCTGGTCAAGGCCAGATTGACAGCCATCTGACTTTTTGGCCTTACTACTATATTTCCACAATTTATGTACCATTTTCATTTGTATTTGGCACATACATCGTACATAACAGTGTGTTTCATAATCAGATCAAAGATGGCCGAATAACGGCTGTTTTTATTTTTTGCCATATTACTACTACACGGAACACGTGTTTCGATGTAAATAAACAATCTGTTGTATACGCCACTTGGAACTCAAGTTTCAAGGACACGCTTGCGACAACGCCTCCGCTTTAATATGACGAGCACAAAGAGAACTTTCAAAAATTTTAACGGGGACTGTGTCATTTTCAATGACTTGTTTTTGATGAAACTTGATGTATAGATGCTCTGGGCTAATGTGGAGATTTGATTAGGTTTTGGTTAAAATCCATGCTTATTAATTACCTAATTTGCATGATAATTAGCTGATTTTCAGCTGTTCCATGATTGTACCACTCATTGGATTTTGATGAAACTTTGTACATAGATGCTCTGGGAGAATGCACAGACCTAATTAATTACCTAATTTGTATAATGATTTGTCAATTACTTTTCTACTGATATCTCAAGTACTAATCATCACATTACAATGAAACTTGGTACATAGATGTCATAAGACAATGCAGAGATCTGATAAGTTATGGATTAATATCCATGCATATTAATTACATAATTTGCATAATTAGTAAATGTTTTGGTTTTTCCGCTGATATTTCAAGTACTAATCATTTCAATGAAACTTGGTACATAGATGCTCTATGACTTTTCACAGACCTGATTAGTTTTGGTTAAAAATTTGTACATAATAAATACCTTATTTGCAAAGCTTTTTTCACAGATAGCTCAAGTACTAATCATCACATTACAATGAAACTTGCTACATAGATGTCATAGGACAATGCACAGACCTGATAAGTATTGGATTAATATTCATGCATATTAATTACTTAATTTGTATAATTAGTCAATTTTCAGCTTTTCTGCTGATGTTTCAAGTAATAATCTTAACATTTCAACTTGTTACATAGATGCTCCATGACTATTTACAGACCTGATTAGTTTTGGGTTAAAAATCTATGCATATTAATAGCCTAATTTGCATATTGATTAGCACATTTTACACATTTTCATGTGTTTCTCACGTACCATTCAACAGACTTAGATGAAACATGGTACACAGATGCCCTAGGATAATGCGCAAACCTGATTAGTTTGGGGTTGAAATCAATGTGATATAAGTACTGTTTCTGACAAGATATATGACAAAAATATAAGTCATCATATATGGTCATTATTTCATTAAATATTTATAATTGTTAAATCATAGCTACTTGGAACCCTTCAGATCATTGCTTGCAGCTATATTGTTAAATTCTGTATTTGCTTGAATAGAAGCATGTGTGCTAACTTCATGCCTCCAATACCTTCAGCACACAGGAGTTCTTTCTAAGCTTTCTTTGATTTTTATATAACCCTAATTTTGTAGCAAACAGACAAAATTTGAGTCAATATTTCAGTTGTTACAATTTGGCCTTTTTTGTCCCAAAGATCTGAGGGAAGTGCAGAATATAAACAGGACTAATTTGTAATGAAAAGTGGAAACTGGTGGTGAAAAGGTTTTAACATGAAGCCTGTTTTCCAAATTATTGCACATTGCAGTCATTTTCTCCAAGATTTACAATAACTTTAAACAAATCTAGCCAGACATATTACTAGTACTGCTTACAGATTTAAACAAGAAATTAATTTGAATAAACAATTTGGTGAAACTAAGCATTTTTCTATATGAAGCTCCTTGTGAAAGGTTACTGTAGTTGAAGAGTTATTACAAAATTAGAGCCAGGGTAATGTAACTTTAATATCTTAAATATAAATAAGAGAGATGAAGTAATTAAATTGAATAAAGTAAATGATTATTTCTATCATATAAAAAACTGTGTACAATATATAATCTTTCTTCTCGTATGTACCTCAAATGGACCGTAGTCAGACTTTTTCATTTTGTGACAATACATTATATTCTTCACTTTTAGTGAATATTATTGATTAAAAAAAATCTAATTTTTTCTTGAAAATGACAATCCCAATTGCTTTGACATTTTATATGTAGACATCTTGGGTTGACAGATTTATTCATTCTGTGACGATAAGTTTATTTTTGAATTTTAGTGAATATTTTTGGTAAAAATGCTATTGTCAACTGTACATCAAAACTATATCAGCTGACAGGCTGCTTGTTTTGTATTTATCTATTATTTTGTTGTTGATAGTTATGATCCAGATGGACAAAATTTCCCATGAGCTACAAGTCTATAATAACTAATATCCTTTGTTTTGTTCTTGACAGCTGTCTGCTCATAAGTGTCATCGCTACAAAGAAGATGTTGTGAAGTGTGATGATATTGTGACTCATGTACGTCTCACTATGCAACCTGATGGAGGTATCAGTCGAATGAGACTATATGGCAACATTTCAAATAGGTTAGCATCAAATTATAAATCAAAGTTATGAATATGTATGATATAAATATTAGTGTAGTATATTTGTCTTTGTATTCCCAATTCAATACAACACAATGCATAAGTTTATTGTCATGCAATTATAGTATATTGTCATGCTGGTTAATATTATTGTTAGAAGTTGAGCACTTGAAGACTTGCTACATCATGTAAACATATTGTTCTACAATGTAAGAATTATTGTCATGCAAATGAAGCATCTTGTCATGAATGCATATTTTCATGCTGTGTTAACATTGTTATACACCCATTAAGAAGCCTATTGTCAAGCATTTGAAGACTATTGTCACATCATGTAAGCACATTGTCCTACCACATAATCATTGTCATGCAAATGAAGCATCTTGTCATGAATGCATATTTTCATGTTGTGTTAACATTGTTATACACCTATTAAGAAGCCTATTGTCAAGCATTTGAAGACTATTGTCACATTATGTAAGCACATTGTCCTACCACATAATCATTATTGTCATGCAAATGAAG